AAACTACAGAGTTGCAAGAATCTGGTTGCATTCATCACTGATAGAGAGTTAAAGGCTGATTTTGTTTCTCCTGGGGTCACAAGTCTTCCACTCATCTTGAGTTAAATGTCAATTACATAAACGCAGACACCAGAGCCAGCGTGGTGTATTTATGTCAGGGTAAAGAATTGGTTGTGTAATCTTATTTTAATGTTAACATGCGCATTAGTGTATTACAGTATAAAGCTAACACTAATACATTAAATATGCGTTATAACAACAAGGCAGCACTTCACGCGCGCACATTTATAAGCGGCATGACTCCTCACGTGGCAGAAAAGGCCAGACAGGACGTTTAAAATTAGCATTAGCAGCCACAGTCACGTGCTTAGGGTAGGTGCATTCTGGGAAACTGAGTCCGCTGCCTGTGAGACTCGTATTGCGCCAAACGACATCTTGCCAATCATAAAACTACAAACTAAAAAAAAAGTACGGTTACCATGTGTTTACCATTCCGGTTACCCTAGCCAAAACATTAAGTGAAAGCGTGTTGCAGTTCGCACTGTAAATAACTCACCAGGTTTCTTGGTTGCTGAATTTTTTGGTGACCACTTTCCCCAGCTCGAGTCCCAGTCGGTCCGCGATCTTCTGCGACAGATCCGGATGCGAGCTACCGCTAAATATTTTTATGTTTGGCATTTTGGGCTGATCCGTGGTGCCTATAGTGTCGGGGTGGCGTACAGTGTTTTATGAAAAACACTGTAAGTTAAAATAATATCTTCAAATTTGATGTTAAGCAGAGGGCCTGGTGCCGGGTATCTCCTCCGTTTCAAGTCTGTTCGCGCAGCAAATGCACTATGTGCCCTGATGTCCCCGCCCACTTCGTTAGACACACCCATAAACTGCGACGCGGGTCGATTGCGCGGCTTCGATTGGATACAATTCCGTGGGCTGGATGAGTGACAGCTTAGCAGACACATCCACGCAACACACCCAGGCCGTAAATGATGCTTCCGTTTACAGTTTTAGCAAGGCTCTCTCTCGTTTTGAGATGTTTTTAATTCAGTCAGTGGTTTTAACAGTCGAAAAATTGCTCTGATAAATTTAGTTGAACGTTAGGAGGAGTTTTTTTTTTTTTTTTAACATTTATAGCCACCGATAGGACTAACGTTACTGACACCTCAACTGAGCAAAATGCTGTAAACACTTCTGTTTGAGCTTTCATTAAGATAGCCTTATAGCAGGTCCGTGGCGAGCCTTGTGAAAGGGGTGGTTCATTCTTTCTAAAAAAGTGGACTTTTATGTAGTTATTCGACTCACTTTTTATTTAATTATTAGGTTTAAAAACTGCATTTTAGTCAGATTTTAAGCACATTTTTGCTGGATTAGCTTGTTATGTGGTCACACTTTTTGATGTATCAAAACCTTTTCTAAACATTTAGAATAAAGAAATATTAAGAGGCTACTTATTTTAAAGCTACTTTATGATATATCACAAGGGGAAAAGGCAATATGTTTTAAATTTAAAACTGGGGCCTATTGTCATTTACAAGGCAAATCCCAAACTGGCCAGAACATTCAGCTTTCCTCAGTCTCAGAATTTGGCCATTTAAATAATAAAAACATAAATAAATATAATAACAAAGAGCTTCATGGTTTTTCTAGCTTCGCTTGTAAAACAAAAAGTACATTTGAAATTTGATAATGACAATAATAAGTAATATTATGGGCCGCATTTGGTGCTTAACAACTTTTTATTGATCCTATTTTCTTACAAGAAAAGGTCCAAGATTTAGAATAAAGCAACTTATTAAATGTTTTCTCAACAATAACAACAATACAGTGAAAGTTGACTTTACTTGATGCTGCTTGGTCTTAAATCATAGGTCTGCACTGCAGTTTTGCTCCAACCCTAATCAAAACACAACTGATCCAAATAATCAATGTGCTTGTGACTTAATTCAATTTAATTAAAATTTATTTATAGCGCTGTAACAATGTAGATTGTGTTAAAGCAGTTTAACATAAGTACTAGTAAATTGAAACTGGGTCAGTCCAGTTTAGTTCAGTTCATTGTGGTTTAATTTTCACTGCTTAAAGTCCCAACACTGAACAGCAAATCCATCAATCCGCAGCTCCACAAGTCCTAAACCAAGCAAATCAGTGGCGACAGTGTTGAGGAACAAAATTTCACAGATTGACGAGGGGAAAGAAGAAAAAAAAAACCTTGAGAGAAAGCAGGCTCACCCATTTTTTCTCTGGCCATGACTCTTTTGAACACCTCGATTAGTTGGATCAGCTGTGTTTGATTAGGACTGGAGAAAACTCCAGAGCTCCGGCCCTCCATGAATTGAGTTTGAGACCTGTCTTTAAGCTTTTTTTTTGATGGGTGATTTTGATAACTTATGATGGCATAACAGTCAAAGTAAGAAAAATTAACTCATGTATGCGACATATATTGGTCCTTTGTTAGTGGGGGTAAGTCATTCGAACCACCAGAACCTCCCCTGGCTACGGGCCTGTATACAAGTAAGATAGCTAACAAACTATTAACATTATATAACTAAAAAAAGCAGCAAATAGATGAAACGTCTTATGTAATTAGCTTTTAAAAAGCTTTTCTGTGGTTAATTAATATTGATGCAAACATGCCTATATATGGATGTATGTCTAATAAATATGCATCACATGACATGCATATTGTTTACAGTGCAGCCGTTTTATCACATTTTAAAGGAATAATTCACACGGTTCAAATTTTTGATTTTACTTTATTCTGTTTACCAGAAAACAAGATATTTTGAAGAAAGCTGAAAACTTGTGTTTATTAACTTACATATTAGGAAAAACAAGTACTCTACTTACTTCAAAATACCTTTTCAGTTCAGCAGAAGACAGTCAAACAAGATTGGAACAAGTAAAGGGGAGTAGCTAAATCAGAAATGTACAAACTAGTGCTGCGGGCCAAAGTTGGCCCTTGGTAACCTTTGATTTGGCCCACAATCCCATATGAGAAGAGAGTGAGAATGATGGGGAGGATTGGGCCGAATGCCTTTAACAGAGATCATGAATTATAATTTAACATAAACCTTTTGGTTTGTTTTACTGCTGAGCTACAAAAAACAAACTGAAAATACATCTTTAAATTAAAGGTTGTAAATTAAACAAATTTTATATTTCTTCAAAATATAAATTGTCACTCAATAGATAGAAGACAATGCAGAACACACTGGCGAACAAATCAAGAAAAAAAAACAGGTGCAACGTTTAATTTAGCCTACCCAATTTACCTGTACCACATGTCTTTGGACTGTGGGGGAAACCGAGCACCTGGAGGAAACCCACGGCAACACGGGGAGAACATGCACACTCCACACAGAAACGGCAACTGACCCAGCCGAGGCTCGAACCAGCAGCCATCTTGCTGTGAGGCGACAGCAACACTTGCGCCACTGCATCACCCCTATGTAAAATATATTCTGCATTAATTAATATAAAGCAATGTTTTCAAGCTATTTTAAATTAACCATGCATGGCAACTTTAATATAATAGAGTTTAGCATATTTACCTTTGACCCAAGGCCCTTCACAAGAAAAAGTTTGGGCACCCCACTCACAGCAAGAAGGTCGCTGGATCGCTGGTTCGAGCCTCGGCTCATTGGCGTTTCTGTGTGGAGTTTGCATGTTCACAGTCCAAAGACCTGCGGTACAGGTGAATTGGGTAGGCTAAATTGTCTGTAGTGAATGAGAGTGTGTGTGGATGTTTCCCAGAGATGGGTTGCAGCTGGAAGGGCATCCGCTGTATAAAAACTTGCTGGATAAGTTGGTGGTTCATTTAGCTGTGGCGACCTCGGATTAATAAAGGAACTAAGCCGAAAAGAAAATGAATGAGTGAATGAACATAAGTTCAGCATTATCATTTAGTGCATTTTTACGCAAGAGAACAAGACATTTACATTCCTTTTTAGACAGCACAAACAAATCAATTTAAGCACAAAGAGCAACAGCGCAGCAAACAGAACTGTGTGTATGCATAGAGTCCAGCCATATTAGAGTGATAGAAACCCAATAAGTCTCTTTTTTTAAATTTCCTGACATTAAAGTAGGATCCAAATACCAGTAATTTTGAGGCCCACTGCAATGTGACGTAGGAGTACAGTTTTGATGGTAAAAAAGACAGTAAAAACGATATGTAATTCTTAACCGCTATAATCACCACAGAAAAGACTCATCATTTCAGAAAGGCTTGAAAAAACCAAATACATCCAATAAACTTTTATATTTATAAAAATATATTTATAATTTTATATTTATAATTTATAAATATTTTATAATTGAGGTATATTTCTGACTAATGAGCTGGATTTCAGCTTCATCCGTGTCTGTTTCTGTCACTGTGCTGTTTGCCTGACATAACACTTGATGAGAAGCAGACACACACATGGGAACGGTGGACAGGGAGAAGCAGCTCATTTGCATTTAAAGCCAGAGGCTACAAAAACAGCTGCACTATTGGCCTTATTCTCAATGCGGAAGTGCGCTCGTTTTTGCGATTGTTTTAGAACTTCTGATTCGGTTTCCTATGAGAAAAATGACTAGGAATAATAAACGGTAGAACACGGTCAAACAACTTGTTCTACAAACAAGTGTGTGCATGACTATATAGACAAAGTAGAATATTACGATAAAAAATATATCAGTTTACAACATCAATCAGAACGAGCAGTTTTTAAAGTTTTAATGAACTGAAGTGAACGAGACCGGAAGTCTTGAGCCAAAAAGATTCATATGGCTGTGCCCGCTCGTAGGCAAAGAAGAAGATGAACAGCAATTATCGAAAACAGCTACACTGTACTCAGACACCAAAATGGGCAGATTTTGGAGGCGATAATAAATGATCTGATTTGTATTTGAGCTGAAACTTTAGACACATTCTGGAGACACAAAAGATTTATCTTACATCTTGTCAAAGGGGTAAAATAGGCACCCTTTTAAAAGTTATAAAAATAAGACAGTAGTGAACAAGTGATCAAAAGCTCTTTTAATTAATATTTATTCCATAAACATGATTACAAAACTCAGCAAGTTACCAATATTACATTTGTCACCATACAGGCTTGATCACAAATATTTCAACTTTTGTGACAGATACAACAAAAACAAAATACTAGAATCATTTACATGAAAATCTATAAAACAGCAATGAGATCACAAATTAGTGTTTATTGTTCCACTGTCTGTTTTCATGGTTTCTTTTTTAAATGTATTCTTTAAATTAATATATATTTTTACTAGAGCACAACACTCTTACAACAAGATTGGTCCAATTACAAAAACTCTCAACAAAGAGTCACAGCTTGCTCTCCTTCTCTCTCCTTTACAATAGTTTTTTATTTATTTTTTATAGTATTTTCAATTTTTGGTTTTAAAACAAACAAACAAAAAACAAATAAGAGAGAGAGAAAGGAAAAATAAAAAGAAAGAAAACATCATGGCAATTAGCAACCTTTTCGCTCGCGGAAAAGGGAAAAGAACGAAGCCACAGTAAGAACGACCTCACATCACTTTCTAAGAAAAATATACACTTAGAAAATATGTTACAAATTGGCACAATGAAAAATATACAGGTCATCATTTTTTTCCTACATCAAGAGAGTTCGTTGATAATCCACCTGGCGAAGATAGACCAGGCAGTAGAAAGTAGTTGTTTTTTTTTCCTTGATGATGAAAAAAGGCAAAAGTAGTTACAAGTAATGCAGTGTCAAATAAATCATGAAAATAATACTTCCAACTTGACAATATAATACATTCATAAATAGGGCACGATTAAGTTTTTGATATGCCTGTTTTCACTTTACATGATGCACTTATAGGGGAATAACACTGTTTCGGAAATGATATAAATATGCGTGTGCTATAAAGTTCACTCTACTCTCGAAATCTGAACAAGAGCACCCGGCACTGGCATCACAGATGGCCTGCAGGTGTAACAACAGTACAGCAGGGGGCATCAGAGAGAATGAGAGATGCGAGTGCAGTTGGGTTCCCTGAGTCACGGACCTGAACCAACTGCGATACATCTCTATTCCCTCGGCATGGGGGAAAACAATTATATTGGAAAACAAACCTTAAAGGAGTTTCACCGATTACTTTTCTGGTCTTTTGCTTGACGAGGCTGATTTGCCTCAAATTAATTCATTCAAAAATCAAGAGGTTTTCAGAGGAGCTCGTTTCTGATTCACAACTCCAGCTGTGGATTGCCACTCATCATCTGCACCTGCTTTCGTCAACATTTTCTCAAATAATCTAACCATAGATCAATCACAGCATCGCTTACAGCGTTTGAACTCTGAAAAAGGAGGGAATTGTTCTCAAACTAAACGAATGTAGTATCTGACAACTCAAAGTGATCATAAATACAAATAAAAAATCGATTCCAGGGAGTCGTACAAATCAAAATCCTGCAGCAATGTAGTAAACAGTACATGGGGTAACCAAGTTGGTGTCTTTCCCTCTTTTATAACACAACAAATAACATTCCAACAGCAATAGAAAAACAATGGTTTTGAGATCAGGTAAGAAAAAACAGGCGATTCAGAGAAAGTAATAATACAGGGGATCAGCATTCACATCACAAATTCATATCATGTTTTAAATGCATGCACATCACTAGCAACAAATTAGAAAAACCTTCAAAAAAGATTTGGTCCGGTTCTTAACTGGTTTTAAGGGTGTAAAATTCATTCAAGGTACAGAGAAATAGATTTGCTAAACTAGAAACTTGGGGAAGTAAACAAGTTAGAATGCATTATATGTCTTGTTATAAGAAGGAATGATCATTTTCTTACCTTGTTAACACATGAACAGTGAGCTTTTACCATCCAGAAACTGATTGGAATGAAGGCAACCAATGTTTTTCTCTGCCATTTAGCACTTCGGCTTCCTCCCTCTAATCCTTTCATGCATCTTTCATTTCTTGCTGCTAATCTTGAACGAGCCAGGTGTGTAAAACACAGAAAATAATCCAAGAACATTTTTTTTTTTTTTGATTGTTGAGACGACTCCTTGCCTGTAGCTGTTTATACAGATGTGATGCAACAGGAGTGAATCTCAGATTAACAACTCCCCCGCCCCCACCCCACCCCAAGCACACACTCACGCTCTTCAATCACTGCCACGTTATAAAACAGCAAATATTTATGTAGATAAAAATGTCTGTACATTTAATTGTTCATAGTTTGGCACATTAATTTGAACATGTCTGATATAATCTTGTTTTGTAAATAGTGCATATGTTTGTGTACAACAGCATTTTGATACTGGCAGGAGGAGATTCACTGGTGAACAGATGAATGAACCTCCTTTTCACAAGTTCTAAACAAACTAAAATCTCTTTTGAAATTTCAGAACCTCAGAAAACAAGCGCATCTCAGTTGAGATGCTTTCTTTCAGCTTGTCAAAGCCCAATATTCTGAGGGGTTGGCACAGAAATGAGGGGAAATCGATTCTTAGCACAGAATACTACACATGACCTTTGACCCCTGAACAGAAGGCAACCATTTGCTGAGAGACAGAGCAGGGCGCTGGGCTTGGTTTAAACCACGGTGCTGTGGCACTGATTTAACACATACAGTGTTATAGCTGCAACGGAAAACAAAAAGACAAAAAAATGTATATTTAGATCAACACCACACTGAAAGAGAATCTTCAAGGCATTTCCTTCTTCAGAAACAAACAAAACACAAATAAAACAACCAAATATTTGTCAGATAAAAATGAAACAAAGCAGCAATGGTGAGTAGGGTGCAGCCATGACAGTGAGACTTCAGTCAGTCTAGTAGGTAGTTTAGCAGGGCTGACATGCAGGATGTGCCTGCCTTCCAGTGGGCCAGGCAAAGGATTGTGGGTAAAGTCAGTGCCATGCAGCTCTGAAATGTGGAAAGGATTTTAGGAGGATTTGGCAGGGTGCGAGGGAAGGGAACGGAGCAAAAGAAGGGGCACATTGCAGAGAGAAAATATTACCTCCGTTTCTCGACCAAAGCGGTCAATGCTACTCCTTTTACATCCCTTTTGCCCGCTAAGAGTTCCTCACGGGCAAATTTAGCACTGGTTTTGTGACGGTACATTTTTTTGTGGGCTGGGCGGTGTGGGAGTGGGAGGCAGTCCAATCCGAGGGTGGGAAAAAATCCTGGTGGGAGAAGTTTAGGCAGTGCTTTACCACTACCACGACCAGCTCCTTTCTTCCCTCGACCTCCGCCTGAGGCACCTCCTCGCTTTTTAAGGTCAGCGGCACTACCCAGAATCTTCAGAGTCTGGCTCTGAAGGGCATGTTGACCTGGTGACAAGCAAGGCCCCCAAAGAGGTTCCACAGAGGCCCTCATGAAGCGCTGTACCTCAGCCATGCCAGACACAATATTGGACAGTATGTTTGATGGTTCCTGGAATTCTCGTTGGTCATCATTTGACACACCCCCAGCAATAGGCCACTCCCCTTGAGCTCCCATCAAGCTAAGCGATGGGGTGGGGGATGAAGCTCCACTTCCTGACCCTCCGCTACTTTTGGCTGCTTTTCCCTCTAGCAAGGCTTTGATCTTTCGCACAGAGCGAGAACCTTGACGTGGGAGCTTTGCTTTCTCTCCTTTTACTGTTTTAGTGGTTTTGGTCTTTTTAGGGCCTTGTCCATTTTTCCCACCCTTTTTTGTGGAACTTTTGTGATCCCTAAGCCCCACTTCTTCCTCTGCTGTGTTGAAAGAGTGTATCTGAAGTAGATGTGGGTTTCCCTCTTGATTAAGCTGTGGCACAGCTCCACAGTTCCATTGCACATTTGCCTCTGCTGCCTCTGAGAACTCTCCAACTTTTCCACAGTTCCCCAGCAGCTGTGGGGAAGAGTTAGGTGTGTCTGGTGGAGACATCTCAGACAGCGATGAATGACGGAACTTGTCAGGGGTAAAGTTAGAGATATCCAGAAGGTCAGTGGACTCTCGAAGTGGAGCAACTTCTTCTAGACTTTGCTGTAGGACAAGACGTGGGCTGCAATGCGGCAAGAAGCCATCATTGATCTCACTGATCTCCTCTTCCCTCTCCCTTTCTCCCTCTCTCAGGCTGAGCGAGCTATAATTGCTTGAGGTAGCCGAAAGTGACCCCTGGGAGTTAAAGCTAACTAGTCGCCCTACACCACTGTCACTTCGAGACCCAGCCGGACTTAAGCCATAATCGGCATCAGGTTGGGACTCTTCATATGATACCCTGCACCCTGATAGAGATACTTGCCCATAGCCTGCAACATTCGTACCATCCCCAGCTAACACAGGCAATGGAGTGGGAAAGGCTGATGGCATCATAGGTGACTGGGTCGGGATGTCTGGGGAGAAGGGCAACTGGTCAGCAGATGGTTGGGATGGCCATGAAATGGGCTGGTTAGGTTCAGTAAGGTTTGGTTCCACATAACGTGTGTGGTGAGGCCCGTGGTTAACAGATGAAGGAGAGTGGGGTAGCTCTGATTCAGAGGGAGGAGAGAGAACACAGCTTTGGACTGGCTGTAATGAGGTGTTCTGCAGCCCTGGTTGGAAATAGGTGATGCTAGCAGTGCTCGATGACTCAGAGGCTTCAAGAAGTGTTTGCAAGTATCCCCCTGGGAGGAGTTCAGCATTCCCATTAGTTTCTGTAGCAGTTGGGGTCAAAGTGCATTTTTCAGGGGAGGTTTCATTTGTGACATTACCTTCCATAGAGTTACTAAGGTTTTCTGGTAAACATGGGCTATACTGCTCAATCTCAGAAGCTTCAGGGACTTCCTGTGTCTCAGCTTCTTTCAACTTTTTTAAACGTAGTCTTGCTTCACTTTTGAATTTCTTTATCTTCCCTGTTTTACCTGCCTTTCTTCTTTCCTCTCTCTCCTGTGTTCTGCTTTTAGCCCTGGCAGTGTGTGTAATTGAGGTAATCTCCTCTTTTGGTTCCTCTGTGCTTTTTAGTGATTCCGTCCCCTCTGACTGATTGTTGATGGGGACCACTATAGTTTGGCTGGGGAGGGAATTCTGTACTGCATGGATCTGCTGGATCCTGAGTCTGGCCATCCTGTGCTTGCGTTTGGGTTTAGTGCTTGGTGGTCTTTTGCAGCCATTGAGACGTTTGTTTGTTTCTGCAGCTCTCAATCTATTTTGCTCCTGCTGCTCTTTTTCTCTTGCCTGCCAGTATGCTTTTAACGGTGCAAGTCTCTCATAGTGTAGGAGAGCATTTGGACTCAGACAGACGACAGCAGGTGATGGTTCGACTCGTCCCAGCCGCACTCTCATATGTCTCTGTCCTTTGAACCGATTAATGATTATGTATTTAATGATAACAGGTGGGTCCTTCCTATTGGACCGCCGCCTCTTCTTCGGGCACCAGTCATCATCGCGCTCCTTTTTTACACCAGCGGGCTGTTTCTCACGTTTTTCTGCATTTTTCTCACTTTCTATAGAGTCCACATCGTACAAATAGTCTTCTCTGTAGGCCACCTTCCTCTTGGCTCGGAGGCGGTAGCTTAGCTGGCTGGAGGAGCTAGAGTTTTCTCTGGATAAGCAGGCATGTCGGAGGGAGAGCCCGTGATCTGGGGAGCCCGTGCAAGAGCTGTCATCACTAAATTCACCAGAATCTTCTGGCGAGTTACTGAGGTCAAAAATAAAGTTACTGTCAGGGCTTATATTGGGGTTCACATGATCATCAGCTTTAATCTCAACAGATTGGTCTGGTTTCTCTTTTGGGCCCTCCTTTCTACTGCATGGTAAGCTGGGAAAGAAACCTAGCTGAGACTCGTTCTGTAAGGCAGATTCAGTCCTCTCCTGCACTCCATCCTGATAGGACTCATAGCGTATTTTGAGTGAGCAGACATCAGTACTAAGTGCTGTCTCCTCCTCTTGAAACATGTAATTCTCTACATCCTCTTCACAGAACAGGTTGACTGCAAGTTCACTGCGAGAGCATAAATCCAACAGCTCCATACGGCTCTCGCTGATGAGAGTTTCTAGACAGCTCCAGTCCTGTGCTTCCTCTCCGAGACCTTCGTATATGCTCCTGGATGCAGGATCCTCATCTGATTCGCTTTCCTGCATTGACCTCCCTTCCTCAGCCCCTTCATTGGTTACAGCTGGATTGGCAGGGCCGCTGAGCAGCTGGTCAGATAGAACCTGGTCACCATAGCGACCTGCGCTGGGGGCGGGGCCAAGGCATTGCAAATTGATGCTGGCAAAGCTGAGTACGGACTCACAGGATTCCGGTTCTGTCTGATTTTTGGGGATCAGACAGCTAAGGCAGTCTCCACCCCTGGAGTCCATGTTGGAGAGGGATGACCTGTCACAGGTCTGCGGCACAGACCAGGGCGTCACAGGTTTGGAACAGGGCACAGAAGAGAGAGATGACAGGGAGGAAAGAGAGGAGAACGAAGAGAGCGAAGAAAGAGAGGTGGTGTTGGAGACAGATCCATCATGCAGGTCAGCTGGGCTAAGAGGACCTTCAGAGGTCTGACTTTGGCCACAGAGGGAGGGCAGGGACAGCACAGCAGGAGCAATGTCATCGCAGCGCCTCAGATCTTCTGACACATCTGCCAACGGGTCATGTGGTTCTGAAAATAAAAAAGCACAAAGATCCTAAGTTTTTACTGACAAATACCTGTAAATGTAGGTATATAGAGATCTAAAGACCGTTATGTTAAATAATGGGTAAATAACAATAATTAGGAAAACATATTTAACATAAGAGTAACAAACAAATAATTGTGTAAATAACTCATTTATAACTCCTACCATTTTCACTGGCATCTCCTGGGCGAGGGCTTTGATCTGCCCCTGAGAATCGGGACTCCTGTAGAACATCCATCAGTTTGAACTGAATCTCTCTCTTATTAACATAATTATTACTGTCCAGCCTGTAGAAACACACAAAGACACACACAGTAAATGCTAAAGAAAATCAGCACTATCCACAAGTCTGAATTTTTTTTATATAAAAAAAATCACTTAGCAGCAATCTCGATGTGACAGATTAACCGAGAACTTAATAGTATATTTTTAAAGGGGTCATGACATGATAAATAACATTTGCATTTATCTTTTGACACATAAGTGGTCTGTGTTGCATTAAAACATGCTGTAAGCTCCTTGAAATGTCCTTTTCATAAACAAAACATATATTCAGTCAAGCATTAATAATGGCTGGTCTGGATAAAAGGTGGCATGCGATGTCTCAAAAGGCACATATATTTGCATACAGCCTGCTTCCAGAGCACACTGATGAATAGCTCATCTCACCATAAGCCCCGCCCATTGACATTTAATCACTGACATATACTTTTTTCCAACAAAGAGAAAAAAATAGAATAAACGTACAATAATAATAATAATAATAATAATAATAATAAATAAATAAATAAATAAAAATACATAACTGGGCTTGAGGAGGGTGGTTGCTGAGGTTGAGGTGCTGTAAATTTCTATAGACACTGGACAAGAGCAGTAGTGTGAACATATGCCATCAAAAGGGTGTTAATATGACTTTTGTGTCCTCATATACAGGAGAGTACACCCGCCTATACTTGACATCAAAAGCCAGTACCAATTATAATATACATTCAGACAAATTTTGCTGTGATAAATTCAGTTTGAACAACTTGTTTGAATCTCTACACAAACTTCAGAAGGATCCCAGCAGTAGTAACAAGTAAATTATTTATTTGTGAGGGTAATTATTTTTCTAGATTGGGTCGGGGCATTTGTTTTCCAGTTTTTCCAGGTCCAGAAAAATGCAACATAGGCTCATTCTGAATATGTAGCCCTATATACAATTCTGGAGATCGCAAATTATGTAGCCAAAAGTACGTAAAGCTGCATTTCCATTAAAAACAAATGCTACAGGGCGTTTTGATACAGTACCTTTTCACACTTACTAGCTGAACGATTATCTACTTATGGATTATTTTCCCGCTGTCAAAAGTTTATCTAGTTAGCTCGCCATGTACGTCGATGGACTTAAGATGCAGAGAGGAGTTGACCACAATGACAGAGTCCAGTGAAGAATGGTTCCAAAAATCAGGTAAAATCTGGCTTTTCTTTTTCTGAATTGCTCTTTAAAACTATTGGTTAGGTTTAGGGAAGTGGGTGGGTGGGTCATTCGGTGCTTTTTAAAACTCTACTGGCTGGGTTTAGGGATGGAGGAGGGTGGGTCAGTTGATCATTCAGTCGACAACAGCCTCTGGTGGATTTACGTGAGAACAGCAGCCGTGGCACTTACGAGAGAAATTTGAGGTCTCAAAAAGCGTACACAGCGACTTTTGATGGATTTACGCGAGAACAGCAGGTGCGAATGGCACTTGCAAAAGAAATTTGCGACATCAAAAAGCATACACAGCGGCAACTGGTGCTTTTACACCAGAACAGCAAGTGTAAATAGCTCTCACTAGACAAATTTGATATTTAAAAAGTGTACACAGTGGCCTCTGGTGAATTCGTGAAAACAAAAACGTAGCTCCTGTGACATATTTTGCGTTCTCCAGAAATGTATATATCATGTTCAAAACAGAAATTTAAATTTAAATTCCCAATAATTCAGGAGCTAATTTATTAATCATGCTAACTATGACTCTTCTCTCTAGTTCTTCTACAATTTGTGTCCTGTTTTCACCTTTTTGTGCATCTCTCTCTCTCATACACCAGTATTACAGTGAGTTGTATTGTTTTACATCATTCTGTCCTCTGATTGCCCTTCACTGTGAAGTACAACTCTTGAGGATGTGAAAGAAATGAAAGAGCTTTATAACAGCAGAGAAACAGAAAAGAAAGAGCGCTCTCTCTTGCCCCGGGCTGTGTGTGCATGTGTCAGAATTGTGTGCCATATATGTAAGTAAAAAGACATGCAGGTTTTTATTTAAATAAATAAATAAACATGACAGCGCTGCATATGCTGTAGGGAGAAATGCTGATCTCTAGTACCTTTGAAGTGTTCCCACGAGGTAGATTTACATAGAAATTCACAACTGACCTATTGAAGATTTATGAATTACACAAGAGTATTGAAACTGTTGAGTGGGCATCATGTGTATTTCAGTGACTATGATTACGGCTCTGAATTATAAATAATATCAATTTATATATACAGTGCTCAGCATATACAACTACACCCCTCACAAATCTGTCTATTAAATTAATATTTCTAATAGGAAGCTATACAATATAAATATAGATAATATTATATTAGTCAGTACTGAAGCCAAATCTGGAGCTTATCTGACTAAAATCTAATCCAAAAACTAGTACACACAAATTTATATGTTATAGAAAAATATTAAAATACAAATAAAAAAAGGTAAAATCAAGAGAAGAGAAAAAATATAGAAATGTAGCAGATATTTTGTAGGTTGTAATTTATTTTTGCAATATTTTGCTTGAATTTAATTGTATTATCTTTCAATTTGTAAATATGTTTGGTAATTAAAATAGTATTTTAATAAATATATCTGTTTAATAAATCTTTTTGTTTAAATGCACCAAAATACATTGCCTATATTCACTGAGAAATGGATAAAAATATTCTAAATGGGGTGTACACAATAATGCTGAGCACTGTAGATAAAATAAATACAATATAACCACATTTTTACAAATCTTAATGTTAATATCACTGAGAATTCCAAATGAAACTAAAATATAATTCTGAAATACTAAAGTTTGGGATATAAAATGAAAGTCTTGTCTCTTATATGAAAATCACCATGAATTTAGATATCTACAGCTTAGAGATTACTATAATAAAAAAAAGGAAACTCTGAATAAACACTTTCTATTCACTCACTATAATGATGATGAATGTCTGTAACAACACAATACCTAAATTAATCTCTTTTGTTAATGCAGTGTTGATGGGTCATTTCTCCTCATCCACACTATATGTAAAAGTAAATTGGGTGAGAATTAAAGACTAAAATTTTGGAAGCAGACTGGTATGATATGTGAGAGATCATCAACTTAAAATAATAAGGTTCTATCTGACATTTTTTGTCAAAATTGAGTTGAAATGACAACTTTTTTACATGATGTGATGTTTTTTCATAAGTTTTAAGACTTAAAACAAAACAAAAAAGGTTTTATCTACAAAATCGAGCTCTAGCTTAGCTCTATAAGATTCTTTCTGTTAGCCAATCAGCATTTCGAATACACGCACAAAGACCAATCAGGTTCAGCTTTCTTTGAAATTTCACTGGACTGCTCCGTTGACAGCAGAAAGAAACACAAAATCAAAGTTGACTAAATGTCGCATCACATCAAATTGAGAAGAAACCTGAAACTAAAAAAGGTGTGTAAATAAGATGACTTTTAAGCACTTTTAAACATTTATATAAAATTTTAAATTTTACATTGTTGTAAGATTTTTATATGTGTATATATAGTCTGTAAAACATTTTCAGTGTTTATTAAACTCATTTATTGATTGATTGTTTTCTTTAAAGTCATTAAATTTGATATTAAGCCATGAAGGGCAAAGAAATTTAATTCATGAGGCATTCAAAGTAATTCTATAAATTATAACTAAATAATTCATATAGAGCATAAAATTCAATAAATGTTACCATATTAATTACATAATCTGCACTGAACAAAATATATAGCGCAGCATTTGTTTAACTTAAAAAAGAAAAAACATTCACCTAAAATCATTAAATAAACATTACAGAAAGCAAAAATGTAACTTTCCCAAACATCAACATATTGATATTAAACACAATTTTTTTGGTTTAATTAAATAAATAAGCAGGCTGATTGTATTTACAGACTCAACATTAAAATGTAAGCAGTGGTTTGAGGTAATTGAAAAAATTCAGGCAATGGAAAAACTAACAATTACGTTGAGGGTAAAAAAAAAAAAGGTTATTTTCAGAAAGGTTTGGGAAAAATGGTTTATATACAGTATAAGGACTATAAAGACATCATCATTTAAGAGAATGGTATTGGAAAAGATACTGTATAGCTATCTGATGCATTTGGCCACATTTTTAACATGCAAATGTATGTGGTGTATAAAATTACAGTGTTCAGCATAATTGAGTACCTTCCATATTAAAATTTTTTATTTTTATCTATTTCTCAGTGAATATAGGCAATGTATTTTGGAGAATTTAAACAAAACCGGTTTATTAAACAGATATGTTTATTTAAATGATATTTTAGTCACTAAACATATTTAAAAATTAAAAAATAATACAATTAAAATGTAAAAATTTAAAAGAATTTACAACCTACAAAATTTCAACTATATTTTTTTGCTTCTATTGATTTTTCCTCTTTTTAAATTTGTATTTAATATTTCTCTATAACATAGAAATTTGTGTGTACTAGTTTTTGGACCGTTATCACAAGTTATTTTGTAAGATAAGTTCCAGATTTGGCTTCAGTACTGACTAATCTAATGTGTATACACAAATATAATATTGTATAGCTTTCTATAGAAAATATGAATTTCAAAGATAAATTTGTGTACTCATAGTGTGTACTGATATATGCTGAGCACTGTATGCATATTCATTTTGAATTGTACATATCCACTGCTTATATACATTGGTAATTATGTTCATATCTATCTGCATACTTCTTTTTATTAATAGCAAGCTGTACATATATTTATCTTTTGTAAATCTCTGATCAGTTAATACGTCCTGTATATAATGATCATAGTATACATCCAACTGTAAATATTATGGCAGTTTAATACTTTTAAATCCTGCACTTGCTGCTATTGCACTCCTGGTTAGACCTGAACTGCATTTCGTTGCCTTGTATTTGTACATGTGTAAATGACAATAAAGTTCAATCTAATCTAATCTAATCTAATCTAATCTAATCTAATCTAATCTAATCTAATCTATTGTTATACAGTTGAAGTCAGAATTATTAGCTCCCTTTGAATTTCTTTTCTTTTTTAAATATTCACAGAGCAAGGAACTTTTCACAGTATGTCTGATAATATTTTCTCTTCTGGAGAAAGTTTTATTTGTTAGAATTTGCTAGAATAAAAGCTGTTTTTAATTTTTTATGCCTAATTTTGAGGTCATAATTATTAGCCCCTTTAAGCCATATATTTTAGAAAACCATCATTATACAATAACTTGCCTAATTACCCTAACCTGCCTAGTTCACCTAATTAACCTAGTTAAGCCTTTAAATGTAACTTTAAGCTGTATAGAAGTGTCTTGAAAAATATCTAGTCAAATATTATTTACTGTCATCATGACAAAGATAAAATAAATCCGTTATTAGAGATAAGTTACTAAAACTACTATGTTTAGAAATGTGTTGATAAAAATCTGCTCTCCCTTTAACAGAAATTGGGGGAAAATAAACAGGGGGGGGGTAATAATTTAAGTGGGCTAATAATTCTTACCTCAACTGTGTGTGTATGTATACAGTAATGCATGTTAGCATGCTTTTTTCTGTTAAATTTATTCATTTATTTATTTTATTTTCAGCTAAGTCCCTTTATTAATCTGGGGTAGCCACAGCGGAATGAACCATCAACTTATCCAGCATATGTTTTACACAGCGCATGCCCTTCAGACACAACCCAACGCTGGGAATTCTGTTCAATAACTGTTCTTTATTGTAAAAAATTAACTAAATAAAAATAAAAGTAATGATTTTTTAAAAATCAGCATAAAACATAGTTTGCCTTATAATTTCTGAATATAATATGTGTTTAGACACTGTTGATGGCAGAAATCAAAGCAAGAGAAAAATTCCACAACAGCACTTTTGAACACATTACACACCACAATCCATTCTCCAGCATGTACTGCTTTCCAGATCTGGAAATGTCTATGTAACGATCTAGGATTTGCTATTTCCAAACCAGTAACAGTATGAGAAAAAGCCCAGGGCTGTTCTGGGAACAGCATGGCTGGGCTCATTCTTGCCATCTTTGCAGACAGAGAGATAGAGAACAGGGCAGTGGCACTGTCTGCAAACTGCTTTTATTAAAAACTAAATTAATATTTATTCAGCTTCAACATCCACCCAAGAGACAGACAATGGAATTACAAGAGAGAGAGAGAGAGAGAGAGAGAGAGAGAGAGAGAGAGAGAGAGAGAGAAATATAGACGCATAAAAAGAGAATGAGAAACAGAATCCATTTTGGTGTGAGTTTGTTTGATCTTTTTTCTGAGATAAATACATTTGCTGCAGTCTGTCCTTGGTCAATCTGTCAGACAAACAGCCCAAATATAAAGCAGTCAGTCATTTGTGGTCACTGAAGGCATGACTATACACTGACTGGAGCTTTAAGCACTGCAGTCTGTGTGGAAAACAAACACAGCCTCTGCGTCCACTCGATTGACTGCTTCGTCTATTGATAGATTCTTGTGGCAGAAGCTGTGCACGAGAGAACTTCGGCTCTGTTATCATCACCCCGCCATCAAAGAAACTTCCATAACAGCATCCCAGCACAGGTGTCCGGTGACCGACAGGTCCTCCATACTCTACACACGATGATATCTAGAGCCTGAAAGACGAGCACGCTTTCAGCATCTCGGATAACCTAGAGAATTTACATTATTCAGAGAGACGTAACAGGTTTGAGTCCAGCCTTAATTATTGAAGGCCTGGTGCGCTATGATACGCGCCCTGCTATTCTGCATCTCCAATCGCCAAAATGCCGCATCGGTCGCAGGCGCTGAGCCGCGCGCGCCGACGCCGAGGACAGGAAAATGCGTAAAACGGCGTACAGAATATCCCCACATGACAGAGTCAGTGTTTCTGCTATCTGTGAACGAGTGCGCATGTAGCTGTGGCCTTGGCTTGGGGGATGTTGTGTAAAAAGGATGAAGAGAGAGAGAGAGAGCGACAGAGAGAGAGAGAGCGTGTATGTGTTTGCCTCACGTATTCGTCATGAGCACCAATGCTCTCCGTCCCTTCAAACGATGGCCTGCGGCTCATGGCTTTCGCAGGACACTGAGCATCATCTCTATGGCACACACACACACACACCTGTGCAATATGGACGCATCATGACAGCTGACATTCGCTCCTCCATTTCTCCCCATTGCAGCGTTTGACGCGCGTCACACTGGCTCACTCACCGCATCACGCACGCACACAAACACGCACAGCCTACTCACCTCCCGTTACACCCGGGCCGCGCGTCCCGCCCGCTCTTAAGCCTCCGTTTGGTCGCTCGGCGTGTGGACTGCTGTCATATGATGTTGTTGTTGTTGTGTTTTTTGTAAGCCTCTTCAATGCAGCGCCCTCACCATGTTTGCCCCGTCTCGCGAGCCCGGACTGCCTCTCCGGTAGCAGCAGGTGGACGCACCTCTCGCGCCTCGGAGCCCCTCTACCACTCCATTTTATCCCCTCGCGCTCCAGGGTTTCCAGGAAACAAACAAAGGTCTGCTGCAGCCCCTGCTCCTCGCCGCATGCTCCCTCTCTCCCGCTCCGCTCTCTCCTGCTTTAGAGCCGCTTTTGTTTTTGCCGTATGTGCGTGTGTGACGGAGACGGGGGTGTGCGTGCGTGCGGATGTGTTTTTCCCAGCTGTACCCCGTCCGTCCCTGACAACGACGGCGCGCTCGTGCGCTGCTGCTCCCCCTCTTCTGAGACCTGCCATAAAGAGCGCGCCCCCATATTTTGCACGGCGGCGCGCTGAGATGTCGGGAGCGCGCGCCACTGCTGAACAGGTGCAGAGGCGCACGCATGCGCACGAACGCTTCTCAAGCAGCAGCTAGGGGTCTCTGCGGATTTAGATTATTTCACACAAACTTGTTTTACATACGCAGTTACAAACAAATACATGTATTTGTGGAATTTTGGTAAAAGAGACAAAATGTTGGAAATCCATTTAAATAAAAATGTAAAAATAAATCTTTGTTTATACAACTGTCTGGTATTAAATACTCAGTAACAGAAAATATCTGCCAAATAGTTCTACTACTCGTCTATATATATATATATATATATATATATATAGAAAAATATATAGAAATATATAATATATAGAAAAAACTAGGGTTGTTTGTTTTTCAGACTTTTAAAATATCCAATAAATCTGAAAATTAAATGTAATGTTAACAGTTCTATAATTAGCCTATGACACATTTACTAATTATTTTTAATAATTGCTGTACTGTTTGTTGGAACATTTTCTTGATTTTGTTATCCCCTGTTTACCTTGTAATAACAGCTTAATAAACCGTTTGTCGTGAAGCACCAGTCAGTCACTTCTGCTGGGCCTCTGCTCTGACGGCTTGTCTTGAATGAGGGCCGCAGTGTCCCGCCCCTTACGTCAATGAAACTTAGATTGACATGCCTTCTATCTAATCATGTGTACGGGGGATGTGACGTCAGGTTGTTTTTCCCGGGAGCGTGCGTCATGTCGCCTCCGCTCCGCTTTAGATATGGCGAGAAGGTGGTAGTAACGTATACATTCACGGAAACCATCCACCGCGGAGCAGCCTTCATTTAAGTGGACCAGGCGGTATAGGGAAGTGATTTCTTATTTTTTCTGTAGTTTGTAGTCCTATGGAAACGGCCATAATCGAGACGATGCCGTGCCATAACCAGCAGCTTAATAATAACAGTGAGAGCCCTGAACACGCCGCCAAGCACGTCCGCTTTGCCCAGAGCAGCGCTGCCGCTGCGGAGACCTGTCAAAACGACGCCGAACAGCCTGAATACCAAACCACAAGCGAAATCCATCAACAAATAGGACCTCAGCTGAAGCTGTTGCCATTAAACGACCAAATACGAGAACTTCAGACTATCATTCGGGACAAGTGAGTGTCCAGTTCGCCTTTGAACCGGATTTGGATTGAGTGACCATTTCGAGTGTCCACATGCAGGCCAGATCTGTGCCATATGCTTCCATATCACTGCACGTGCACACAGACATAAACCCACATTTCACCAGAATCTACAAGTAGCATTAGCCACCTGCCGTAATGCATCATCATTTGTGTAGACATGTGCTGATTTATAGTAACACGGTATATCGCGATAATAAATCAAGTAGTTGCACGATAATATCGTTTGCATTTCAAAATAGGAGGAATAATTTAAGATTTGCTTTGCTAAATATATAACTCTGGTTTTACTAATTTTAGTAAATCATGTTTACGGCAAATTAACTATTAGTTAATAGTCAGCACTAATGCTTGAATGCTGTTTATTTTAAACAAAGTTTACCTTTTTATTCTGGCCTGAGCCCTGAGGCATTGATTGAATTGTGTCAGTTTGGGTCGATTCTTTGCAGGCCTGTTTTAAAACACTTTACAATTAGGCTCTATTTGTTAACAGTCATCAAAATAAACTGCTGATGAAAACTGTTGATTAAGTACTTAAAATTAAGGATGTCATTTTTATTAACCATAATTTGTTAATGGATAATTTCCAGAACATAACCAGAAAATAAATTTAATTATTTTGTGCAATATAACGTTATGGGTCAACAATGGGTAAAAAAAAAACAAAAAAAAAAACAAACAAACAAACATGTAGCTACAAACATAAATAATTTGAAACATCACTAGTTTAGTTTACAAACACCTCATTCAGTTCACTAGTATGTTCACTATTAATGTGCCAAGTGAAAATGACTTACTCAGTCCAATCTTCAAGAAGAGCCCAGTTACCACTTCTGTCATATTTTCTGGCTTACTTGAGATTGCTTATGTCTCCCGCTTCCCTGATCAATCTGCACAGTTTTATCTTATCAAGATCTCTTTCGATCAGACTCCTTATCAGATTTACTCCTGGTTTCAACATAATAATATATGCTCGACTGCCTCTAGCATTTTAAAAATACAAATATTATTTAGGCAGGCCACTATGCCATTATTTAATTTTGCTGTTCACTGCGCACGAAACAATCACCAACCAACGAGCGTGATTGTAAATGTAAGAAAACTGATTGGCCGAAAGTGACTACCTTTATGTGTGCTTGTCCACACAGCTTTGCTTGCTGATTTTCACTCAGACTCATTCACATTCTCTCTTACACACACACATTCAGGTATTCACCACGCAAAAGTTAATGCTAGATCAGTTAAAATAAATACCAGAACGCAAAACACGAATAATTAACATTTCCCGCAACAGGATCCCACAAGATCTGGCTTAAATTAAGCACTGTTATTAACCCATTTAAATCTTTGAATTCAATAGTAGTAACTGTTTTGATTTAATGGAGCTAATAACAAGTGAATTCATGGGTAATAGTAATGCCTTATGTCTGTAACAAATGTAGCCATCTCTCACTGTTGATGATAATCAGTGTAGGGTAAAAGTTACTTTGTATAATCCTAAAGTTACTTTGTTACAATCCTAAGTCTCTTTAACTAAAGTGGCTAAATCTATCACTTTGTTACTTTTAAGTCATGTGAAAGTGTGTTATTATTTTTGTGTGTGTTTAGTAGGGTTGTCACAATACTGGAATTCGGTACTAATCGATACTGAAATTTAAAAACATCCATTTCTCATTAACATTTGAGCTTTGTTTAAATGTGTCACGTAGTTACTTTTAAGGAAAGTCATGTGAAAGTGTGTTATTTTTGTGTGTTTTTTTTTGTAGGGTTGTCACAATACTGGAATTCGGTACCAATCGATACTGATTAAAATGTTTATTTCTTGCTAACATTTAAGTGCTGTTGAGCACATTCTTAAACACCACTGATTTGCCATTAGCCCCTTTCACACAGTGATACCGATAAATATCCGGAAAATTTCCGGAACGACTTTACCGGTATATTCAAAAAAGCGCTGTTCACACAGGCGAGGACGTTACGGAAATTTTCCGGAAAAGAGCATTCACACATCCATTCCAAAATACCGGTAAATTCTGACATCATTCACCACAAATGAGCTTTAAACGGCTGCGCTTGTGTTTGTAAACATATGACTAAATTACAAACTCTGTGGATGATCAATATTGTGAACAACTTTCGCAGGATCACTTTCGCATGTCGAGATGTTCATATTATGTGCGTGTGGAGACGCTTACAGGCTGTTTCACAGGCACACGCAAAGCTTGAAGGTAAACAAACAACGGCTTATCATAAGCATCTCATCGATGATTATTTACACAGTTGGCATTAAGAAGAACATATAAACGTAACCTGACTATCTTCTAGCAGCTCAACAGAAATGACTGTGATTGGCTGTAAAAGTCATCAGTTCACTGAACTCACCACTGTTTACTGAGCTACATAGATCGTTTAGATTGTTTTTACGTGGCAATTCAGTGGATAGCTCATATGTCAGCTTATAGACGAACCAGCTGATCGACAGACTTTGAAATGCTCCAGTGTCCCTGTATCTGTGGTTACACTCAGTAAACAGCGATGAGTTCGGTGAACTGATGACCTTCACGGCCAATCAGTCATTTTTGTTGAGCATGTGAATACAATGGCAAATCAGCAGTGTTTAAGAACGTGCTAAACAGAGCTCAAATGCAAGCAGGAAATGGACAATTTTTAAATTTCAGTATCGATTAGTACCGAATTCTAGTATCTTGACAAACCTAGTTTTTACATAGGCTTAAAATTCTAATATATTACCATTTTACCCAACACAGATCCTAATGCATCAAGTAATGTTACTAGTAGGGTCTTGTAAAGTTTTACCTATTGAACTTTATATTCCTTATGCAATTTCATTTATCTGAGATATTTTACTATAAACATCTTTATACATGACATTGTTTTGTTGTTATATCTGTACTGTTTTGCAATATCCTGATAATATCATATATTGTGAACAAGAAAGCTTGATTTATTGTCAAATATATTGTAACAGTTTGTGACTTTTCCCATTTCTCTGTCTCAGAACTACCAGTAGAGGTGATTTTGTGTTCTGTGCTGACAGATTGGTAAGCATTGTGTGTAAATATCATATTTGTGGTTTATAAGCAGCTATTGTCCTTGTAAATAAAAGCAGCCCACACGAGTAATTTTGCAATCAACACAGAGAATGTATGGTTGATTGCATTTCACATTCACCGTAGTACTGAAGAATCAACTTGATTGTTTTTTTTGTATCGCAAAATTAGTATTGACTCATGTTTTGTATTTGTTTGCTCCCCCTTCCTCCCCTCAATCTGCATCTTGATTGTTTGTTTGTTTGTTTGTTTGTTCTGCTACCAGATCAGATTAGTTGTGGAAGAAGGCCTCAATCAGCTTCCATACAGTGAATGTACTGTAACCACGCCAACAGGTGAGCCGGTTAGCATGCTGATGACTTCCCCAGCACACTGTAATTCCTTTGTGTATTAGCATGACCACCATTGACATTGGAGTTTGTGTACTTACATTCTGTCCACCTCATGCAGGACATAAATATGAGGGTGTGAAGTTCGAGAAGGGGAACTGTGGGGTCAGCATCATGAGGAGTGGTGAGTCTCAATTATTCACAAACAAATGCTACACTTTTTAATGTGCATGTCTTTAAAGCAGTGGTCACCAAACTAGTTTCTGGAGGGCTGGTGTCCTGCAGATTCTAGCGCTAACCCTGATCAAACACACCTAAACAAGCTAATCAAGGTCTTACGAGGTATATTCGAAACACCCAGACAGGTGTGTTCAGGCAAGTTGGAGCTAAACACTGCAGGGACACTGGCCCTCCTGGATCAAGATTGGTGACCCCTGCCTTAAAGTATACGTCTGAAACTCAGCTTCTGAAGGGCCGCAGCTCTTCACAGTTTTGTTCCAACTCTAATTAAACACACCTGATCAAACTAATTGAGTCCTTCAGGCTTGTTTGAAACCTACAGGCAAAGCTGCGGTCACACTGGGCTTTTCCTCCCTTACTTGTAAATTTTCTGATGACTTTTGGAAACAGGTTTCAGGGTTGATTTTTGATTCATTTTACAAAATAATTAATATTGACGAAGGCATGATACTATTTATGAATTGTAAAACTGGCTATGATACACTCGATAATGGTTTGAAGTTGATAATTTTTCTTGGGAAGTTTGTCTATTGCTCCCTCCTTTAATTTTTTCTGTAAAGATTACAAATATTTTATAATTCTTTGACCTCAATTACAAGAAACAAGAAAGCTATAAAAACCTCTCTAATAATGAAAAAATTATCTGTACAATCTAATAATTTAAATATGATGGATCCCCTTATATATATGTTACACTTTTTTTGTTTAATGTATGTTCTGCATTACTAAGTTTTGTATGACTGTTACATATATTATCATATAATCTTGTGTGCTTGTCCATTATATGCATCAATTAAAAAAAAAAAAAAGCTTACATTTATACGTACGCAAATGCGTCAGACCATTTCGCAGGTTGCTGCGGTGCAAAGTTCAAGCTTGGTGAACTTTGACCTGCGAAATCGCATCACTTGGCTGCGTGAGACCAACCGAGGATCAAAACATGACCTTACTGGACAGAAATGTACAACATGGAACAATTGCTCGCTTTTTTAATGCCTAATAATCTTGTTTATTACCACCCCTTTTCGTAGCGCCGCACGACAGAGTTTCGCATTATGAAACTCTAGTGTGACCACAGCTTTAGTGTGGTGAAACAGATTAGAACTAAACTGTGCAGAGATGCGGCCCTCCACGAAGAGTTCAAGACCTGTGCTTTAAGAGATTAGTTCCCCTAAAAATAAAAATTCTGTCATAAATCGCCTTCATGCTGTTCCAAGACCTTTGTTGATCTTCGAAATGCAAATTAAGATATTTTAGATCAGTGTTGGTCAACCATGTTCCTGGAGCACCACCAACACTGCATGATTTGGATGCCACTCTTTGAAGGGCTTTCAGTTTCTGCTAATGAGCTGATGATCTCAATCAGGTGTGTTTGATTAAGGAGCAATTTCGGACTTATAAGCGAGGTAAGCAGCCGCTTAGGTCCTCGAGGAATTAGGGGGTCCAGACCAATGTCAAGAAGCCTATATCAATCATATAGCTCTTTTTTAAATTATCTACCATGTGTTGTAAAAGCCGTCTATAACTGTTCAGATTTGAACGTTATTACCTCTTTTCAAAACTGGGGACCCCAATGAATGGACCGCTCCTTTCGTACTGCACATGCGCGAGTTGTGAGCGCCGTGGTTCACACTGCCAATCTGCCAGCGATCAGAGTAGAGCTCAGGTAGAGGTAGATAGTGTGCAAGAGTGGGAATTTTGAGAACATTTGGGATAGTAGAAATCAGACAAACAATGAAACGCAGCTACAGCATCGATCCTGCAGAAGTTTAATTACTGCATTAATTTTACATTAGGTAGATAAATGTTCCTTTAAATATTAAAGTATAGAAAATAGATTTTTAACATGCAGTTTATTTACAACATTAAAATTAAAATAAAACCTAATCTACAGAAAATGTTTTGAGTTTTAATTCTCGGGCCCCACATCTGAAATTGCTTAGGGCCCCCAAATGACTAAGTCTGCCCCGTTAAGGAGACATGGAAAATGTGCAGAGCTGGTGGTCCTCCAGGAACGTGGTTGAGAAACATTGTTTTAGATAAAATCTGATATGTTCAAATCCAGATACGGAACAAAAAACTTTTTAAAAACCCTTGAAACACATGAAACTTCTGTGGTTCAACTGTAAACAAAGTCTTTTTTACATTCGTTTTAGAATGTTACAGTTGAACCTCTGAAGTCACATAGACAGTCCTGACAATGTTATTGTTTCCTTTTCTGGACTTTCTTGTGACCCTTGCTGTATATCAATGGTCTCAAACTTAATTCCTGAAGGGCCGCAGCTCTGCACCGTTTATCTCCAACCACCCCCAACTCACACCTGCCTAATAGTCTCTAGTAGTCTTGAACACCTTGATTAGTTGGATCAGCTGTGTTTGATTAGGGTTGGAGCAAAACAGTGCAGAGCTGCGGCCCTCCAGGAATTAAGATCTATGCTGTATATGGAGGATGAGGGAGCTTATGTATTTAATCTAAAATATCATAATTTGTGTACTGAAGATGAAGAAAGATCTTAGAGGATTCGATTGATATGAGGGTGAGGGATTAATACAGGAATTATACTAATTTTAATAAATTAATAAAACTATAAACTAATAAAAATATATTAAACTAATACTTTAATATGTGTGTTATGTGAACAGGTGAGGCTATGGAGCAAGGGCTGAGAGATTGCTGCAGATCAATCCGTATTGGGAAGATCCTGATCCAGAGCGACGAAGAGACACAAAAAGCCAAAGTGTACTATGCAAAATTTCCTCCTGACATCAGCAGGAGGAAGGTTCTACTCATGTACCCTATACTCAGTAAGTACTTGACCTCTATAGCAAAGCATTAAAGGGGAAGTTCACCTGAAAAAATTTAAAGGGTCATTATTTACTCAACTTATTCCAAACCTGTTTGAGTTTCTTTTTTCTGTTGAACACAAATAAAGATATAATGAAGAATGTTGGAAAAAACAGCTGTTGACTTCCATGGTATTCTTTTTCCTACTGTGTAAGTCAGATGTCAATGGCTGCTTTTTTCCCCAGCAATCTTCAGAATATCTTGTTTTGCATTCAACAGAAAAAAGAAATTCCTAAAAGTTGAGAACCACTCGAGTGCGAGTACATGATGTGGAAATTGTAATTTTGTGTGAACTGCCTTTTTAATCCAACCCATGAACATCTCTACATTTTTGATGTTGACAGTGTTGGACAGTTTGTGAATGAAAGGAAGGAAAGGCTTTGCAATTCCCAGTTCCATCTGTGTCTACATGAATGTAATTCAGTTCTGGCAATAAAATATAACTGTTATGTGTTTCAGGTACAGGCAACACTGTGATAGAAGCGGTGCGGGTGCTGACTGAACATGGCCTGCAGGCCAAACATATCATACTACTGAGTCTGTTCTCTACTCCACACGGTAAGACTTGCCTAAAGTGAAGATCCCATTTATATTCTCAGAATAACTCTCTGTATATTTGAGTTATCTTAGTAGTACAGGCCCTCTTGGTAACAAATTGTGTATATTTCTAAAACTATTTCAACTTTGCTCTAAATCCAAAAGTCAGTATTTTGAATAGATTCAGTCATTTATACAATTGCTTGTTTAAAAAAAAAAGGTTTTTGTATAACTTGTGTGAGATTAACATAAGAGGTCAGCTGATTAATTGGGCTGCAAATTAGGTTCATTAGGTGCAGATACATTTGTAAGCAGCTTGATGTTGTATGATGTGTATAAGTGCCATAACACTGATGTCTGTTTGTTAGTGAACAGTTATTTTTACCTTCTGCAATTTATACTTGTGATTAAACAGTTTAATTTGATAAATGTTAAATATCTAAAAAGAGTGTGCATTATAGTCCACTGAGTAGACAGGCTTTGTTTTTTGTTTTTTTATAATAAATGTTTAATTTAAGCAATTTTCTGTATCATACCTTATTATTTAACTTTTGACTGATGAAGGGGAAAAAGAAAATCAAGTTTTAAATATCGCCATTCCCAAGAGAAAAAACACATCGGTAGACTTATACTTAATACCATAGATTGGCATGTTTTGTCTGAGTAGATAATCTCTTCAAACTGTAATATTTTTTACATTTAGATATGTACATTTTCGTTAGTTAGTTTTTTTTAAAAAACATCTAAACTATAATACATAAAACTGCAGGTTTCAAAAAAGATATAGTTTTAAAATGGATATTTAGTAAATAAAGTAGTAGTTAGAATTGTGTATGATTGTAAAAGGCTGTATTTCAATGTGTAAACATTGAAATGTTGGAAAAAGTTGCAATATTACAATAAAAAATTGTGTATTATTTTATATTTAACAATTGAACATATTGTGTCTAAAAGAAAAACAAAACTGCATTTATTTAAAACTGAAGTCATGAAAAAATCAAATTTACTTTAATTTCTAATTATTGAAATTATTTCACAATTAAAAGTCGTTCTTTTAAAACCGTTTTCTCTCTTTTTTTTTGTTGAATGACATTCCTGAAGACCTCAAACCTCTGTTTACAACTCCTACATTTCTGGCTAAGAAATGTACATTGCTAAAATGGTCTACTTCTCAAACCCCAACTATTTCCATGAGGATTTCTCAGTTGTCAGTCTTTCTTCCTTTGGAGAAATTAACTTATGACCTCAACCACAAACAGGACAAATTCAGATTCAAATATTTTATTTTAAGAGTTCTTTTGGCTTCTTTTTTGTTGTTATTAAACAGATACAATTGTACATTTTATTTAATTGGCAGTGCTTGGGGTTTTTGTCTAATTGTCTTTGTTGTACTATTCCATGACCATAATGATGTGTGTGTAGGTGCACGGTCCATTGTTCAGGAGTTTCCTGACATCACTATACTGACAACTGAAGTTCATGCTGTTGCTCCAACACACTTCGGCCAGAGATATTTCGGCACAGACTGACAGCCCACCAACTCCACACAATATGACTCCACCTCCCCCTCCTCATTCATTTGTTTTAAAATACTTGACCAGCTCAAATCAAGTGTACATGTGTGATTTGTTCTCTGTATTTTAAGTGCATATGTATTTATCCATGTTTAATGGATGGATCAAAGTGATCTTCTAAAATCATGCTTCTCCATGATACCACTGGGATGAAAACACACCATTTCTGAACATTCTGGAGTGATGATAAATAAATCAAATATTTTCTATTATATTGATTGTCTTTATTTTCTGTTGCCTTTTTAATCCATTTAGCAGTGTCTTACCAAAAAAAAGAAAAGCTAGAATGCTCAACAGAAAACCACTAAGGTAGATTTGAGCAGAAAATACTGAATTGAAGCAGTCAGCCGGGACACCTGATCGAGCTCTCTCACACCCTGATCAGTAAAAGAGAGCTTGCGGAGACCTGATCGCTGCTGCAGGAAGTGTTCCAGGTGAAAACTGAGCATTCTGGCAGGTGTTCACCCTCACCCCGCTCTCCCCACGGTCCCGTCAGCTTAACCTGTGATTGAGATCTTTCCAAGAACTGGCCCAGTCCAGAGACTCTATCCTTGCAAATCCAAAACAAAAAACCCATTAATAATCTATATTTGAAGTTTAAATTAAAAAGCATTTCTCTTACCTCATATAATTTCTGACAGTCAGTCCACAGCTATGGTGACAGCGGCCTCTTTGGGTGACGCTGAAGGCAGGACAGAATCACACACAAATAATCGGAAATCAGTAGACACTCACTGGCCACTGTATTATGTACACCTTACTAGTACCGGGTAAGACCTCCTTTTGCCTTCAGAACTGCTTTAATCACTTGTGGCATAGATTTAACAAGGTACTGGATTTTGGTCCATATTGACATGATAGCATGATAGCATCACACAGTTGCTGCAGATTTGTCGGCTGCACATCCATGATACGTTGACACCATGCTCAATTGGTACTAATGGGCCCAAAGTGTACCAAGAAAATATCCCCCGGACCATTACAACATCACCAGGATCCTGAACCATTGATACAAGGCAGAATGGATCAATGCTTTCATGTTGTTGATGCCAAATTCTGACCCTGCACATCCGAATGTCACAGCAGAAACAGAGACTCATCAGACCAGGCAATGTTTTTCCAATCTTCTTTTGTGTAATTTTGGTGAGCCTGAGCAAATTGTAGCCTCAGTTTCCTGTTCTTAGCTGAAAGGAGTGACATCTGATGTCGTCTTCTGCTGCTGTTGCCCATCTGCCTCAAGGCTGGACGAGATGCTCTTCTGCAGACCTCACTTGTAACGAGTGGTTATTTAAGTTACTGTTGCCTTTCTATCAGCTCGAACGTCTGACCATTCTCTGACCTTTCGCATATTGTGCTGACAGAACTGCTGCTCACTGGATATTTTCTCTTTTTTGGACCATACTCTATAAACCCTAGAGATGGTTGTGCGTGAAAATCCCTGTAAATCAGCAGTTTTTGAAATACTCAGAGCAGCCGTCTGGCATCAACAACCATGCCACGTTCAAAGTCACTTAAATCACCTTTCTTCCCCATACTAATGCTAGGTTTGGTTTGGGCGAACTGCGGCATATCTTCTTGACCATGTCTACATCCCTAAATGGATTGAGTTGCTGCCATGTGATTGGCTGATTAGAAATATGCGTTAACCAGCAGTTGGACAGGTGTACCTAATAAAGTGGCCGGTGAGTGTAGTTTGGTACACCGGTGATGCAGCCCTTTGGCCTCAAGAGGGCAGTATAAACCTAGCAGTTTCAACCTACCTTTTTTTTTCTAAAATTACAGCAAAATTAAACAAAAATCTTTCTATTAAAAAGCAGACCATTTCTTTTCTAAGCAGTAAGCTATTTTGAAGAATCATTATTACTGAGAGTGGCATATGGAGTGTGTTTGACATCAGTGAGGGAATTTTAGAGTATGTGTGTTTGTAATCCTACTCTTTGTGATAGCACACTCAAGTTAATGACAGAAGCAGAGAGGAGATCACCTTCAGAGACAGCGTGAGAACTGGGATAAATTCAGTCTCCCTCTAAATAAAAGATTTGGGACTGCAGCTCCGACATATAATTGGATGACTCTCTCCAAACTGGGCTCTGATTCATTAGCAAGAAAACTCAATTTGGGGGTGACTGACCAAGTGAAATTATGCACGCTTACTGTGGATTTAGTGATGCCAGCCCAGGGATTTCTGGTGGGCTTTCCATGTCTTTTTATCGACCTTATTCTTTTATGTATGAGATGGCGCAGCCAGTGGAACCTTATTGGTTCGAGACTTTTGGTCTCATTCACTTCCATTGATTTTTAGGCATAAAAACTGCTTATTATGTTGTTTGATGTTGCAAACTTGTATTTTCTTTTCGTTTCCCCATACTGCCTGTCACAACAACAGTGCATAAAAAAAACAACAGAAACAAAAAAGCCAGGCTACAATAACAAATCATATTAACACCTAAGATATAAAACAAAAAGGAGAAAGATAAAACAACAAGAGAGGGAGATGTATTCAGAATAGAAATCACAACATCACACCTATGCCAATATTCTTTAGATACAACTGTTATGTAAAGGAGGCAGGGACCCCCAGATTTTCCATTTTAGTTTCATTAAATCGTTTCTTCTCTATATGTAACACAGAGGTCATCTTGTTTAACCAGCTCTAAAAATGGGGGAGCACTGTGGATTTCCACTCTTTCGATATAATTCTGTTGGCCACCACCATGCCCAGCATTAATGCCAGCTGCACATAATACGGCAATGCTGGAATTGTATGAGTGTAGACAAAAATGGCCAAATCATATTGTCACCTTAGAACTATAAGGTTCTATCTGACATTTTTGTCAAAATTCAGTTATTGACATTCTTATTAAATGACAACTTATTAACATTATGGGATGTTTTTTAGAAGTTGTTTATATTTTAACACTTTTTATTTAAAAAACAAATGTTAAACACATACTGTTTGCTATGGAATGCAAAAACTTTAAAGCTCAAAATCATTAGAACCACAGACAGAACCTTATAATTACATGACGATATATCACACCCTAAATTTTAAGGGTGTCACGATCCTCAAAATCCTCGATTCGATTACATTTTCGATTCTAAAGTCACGATTCGATTCGATTTTCGATTATGAATAATTAATTAATTAATAACAAATTAATTATTAGTAGCCTACCGTTTAAACTACCTGACTTGCATGGTCTTTGTTTTACCCATAACCAAATCATACAGTAAATGAATAAAGGTAAGTTACACACACAATTACAACCTGTCAATCACTTTTTTTCTGCGGGACTCGTGAATAGGCAGTGATCTGTGTTGCTATAATGGCGTCGGTAAAAAAGGTGCACAACCAACAGAAACCAGCCAACAGTATCTGAGGTGTTCGCTAAAATAAAATGAAAGTACTTGTGTGAAAGTAAAAGATGGAAGCAGTCTACTGACTCGCTGACTGCCTTGACCCGCTGTCTCGAGCGCATGACAATGTGTGTGTGTCTGTATCTGTGTGTGAATGAGTGTTTGTGGTCACGTGATGTGCGTTTTCAGCGGTAGAGAGGAAGGAGGGCTGCTCAGAAATGCTACACGCCAGTGTGGATGTGGATCGTTGTCGTTCTAAAATGCCATTTAAAAACAAAAACATATTAGTGTAAACAGGGCCTGAGTGTGTATTTTTCGCAAGCGGATTTGCAACGGGTGCAGGGCGGAGGATCGCGATGTGCCCATCGTCTATCATCCCAACCGTAATACGTACATAGCAGAGCTTGCAAACTGTGTTTTTTTTTCCGACAACACGAACGTTGTCAACATAACTAATTTATTAAAAATTACTAACTAACTATTGCTAATAACTAATCGATTAAAAATCGAAATCGTGACACCCCTACTAAATACCATGAAAATATATCCTGCCAATACTTATGAAGTTTCCTTTTATTTTTACGTACACAACAGTTTACTGGCATTTGTTATGGGACAATTACTAGGAATAAGCAAATGAACCAGAAATTCTAAAACAAAAAATCACAGAAAAGAGCTTACCTCCACATTATAAATAGTCAATACTTTCAAGGCCGTTTAAGATCTGCCATGTACAAAGCCAACAATAAGCACTGACTGATTGAGACCAAATTTGTAGAGGTCACACAATAGCCACTTCTTTAAAATATGAACAGTATTTTCTGATCATTTTACAGGACAGAGCCATTTGTAAAAGAGGCCAGCTAGCGAAGTGCTATGCAGGTAAACCTTACTCTTCTGGCAGACGCTAGAGGACATGGTTCGATCCCAGATCAGACTGACTTGTGTGCTGTAGGACCAGTGGGTTACATGTGGGGGATCGTCCGGGATGGGAGTGAGGTTTAGGGTGGTGGTTGTAATGGAGGCCAGCTAGTGAAATGCTATGCAGGTAAACTTCACTCCTCTGACCTCTAAAGGTGCTCTAGCGATAGATGATAGAGGCCATGGTCTTTAGCCTCCTTGTTAAAGCAACCGACTCCCTTACAAGTAATCACCAGTTCAATCCGAGCTCAGACCGGGTTGGATGCAGTAAGATCGCTGGGTTACACTTTCATCTTACTTTACAGTTAAGGAGATTGCATGTTCTCCATGTGTTTGCGCAAGTGTGCTCCCGGTTTCCCCACACAGTCCAAACACAAGCGCTATAGGTGAATTGGGTACGCTAAATTGGCCGTAGTGTATGTGTGCAAATATGAGATTGCATTGGTGTTTTCCAGTGATGGGTTGCAGCTGGAAGGGCATCTACTGCAAAAAACAAATACTCGATAGGTTGGCGGTTCATTCCGCTGTGGCAACCCCTGATAATTAAAGGGACTAGCCGAAAAGAAAATGAATGAATGAAAGAATGCTATGATAATAAACTAAGTGTTAAACTATCAGTGCAGTTAAAGTGCCGAGGTGAAGTCACAGCAAACTTTTAGTGGAAGATTTCTTGCCTGATTACGGAGATCACGCATAAAATAAACATTTCCTCATCATTTACTGACAATCAAACGGTTCGAAACTTATAAATTTCATTCCACTGTTGAACATTAAACAAGATATTCTGAAGAATGTGTGAAAAAAGAAACAGCCATTAACATCCATGATATTTTTTGTTCCTACTATGGAAGTCAACGACTGTTTTTCCCCATAATGTTTCAGTGTATCTTCATTTGTGTCCAACAGAAGAAAGAAACAAACTGTTCTTGATGAGTC